GCGGTCCGGAGCCGGGCGGCTCCGGCCCCTCCTCGCTCCACCTGCGCGGCGGCGGTGAGGGGGCGCATCGGCAGACCCCCGCGATGTACCTCAGGCACCCCTCGATGCTTTCTGCCTTGGTCAAAATCTACGTCCCGCGCCGTCTCAGCAAGAGGACGGAGTCAAACAGACTGAGGTGGCACTGGGTTAGTTCTGGGCTTTAGGGCTGGACCGTTCGGTTTAGGTCTGTACATGGGGAGCGAGGGAGGAGGAAGGAGTAGAGAGACAGAGCACAGTCCTGTGTGCCCCGATAACCATGGGTGAAAAGCCTGGGACTGCAACCCTCAAAGTGGCTGCAGCCCTTGTAGCCCTGTTGCTTTAGCGCAGCCATCGAAGAAAAAGGGATTTTCCAGGTGGAAAACGTAGCACTGAGTAGGAAAACGATGAAGGCGTTTCTGAGGGGTACCTAGGCCTGCCGTCGCCACAATGCTGAAGGCACATGCTGTCAGTACGATATACGAAAATTTGTAAGGTTATTACAAAACACGGCTTCCAACATCCATTTGTAGCGTCTTGCTAGGTTCGATTCCTCTGACGTCTCACACAAACAGTACCGAACATACGAGGAATAATTTGGAAAGCTTAGATCAGGAGCCTCAACAGCAGTATTCCTGTTGATTGCTCAAGCCGCACTTCCATGCAAAAAGAACCCCAAAACAAAACCGCACCCCTAGCCCCCTTCCCCAAGATTTGGGCGGAGGTGCTCTCCACTGCAGGCCAACTCGTACCTCTTCACCAGCACAAAGCACAGCCTAAGCTCTCCCCTAGCCCCGTCCTGCTCCCCACCAGGGACCCGACACTCCAGCTACCAACACCTCGGCTGAAACGCTGCCACGTGCCATCCTCCCCGTCACGGGTGGTGGTCCGAGGTGGGCTGCGAGCAGGCAGCAAAAGCCAGGGGGAAGGAGGGGATGCAGGCAAGAGCAAGAGGAGACGGGACGCAACCCGGTAATAAAGGCAGAGCCTTTTTACAGAAAAATAGGTTGAATTTATTTCTGCCTGCTCCCAGCCGCTTGCCCCAGCTGAAAAGGAGTACTAACAATCCTTTTAAATCACTGGTATAAAATATTGCTCTAACCAGTGCAGTGCAGGCATTACTGTCACCAGAAACTTTTGAGATTTTATTACGGCCAGGTCAAAGCAAAAAGCCACGAATGGGATGCCTTTTGCACGATCTCCAGGGACTATAACTCATATTCCCCACTGAAAGAGTTCTATGGCCAAGCATGCTGTCACTTTTTATCCTACAGTCTCAGTCATCTCCTCACATTTGTCCCAATTCCTTTGTTTCTTACCCAAAACAGCCGTTTACCTGTTGCACTTCAGAGCGAGAAAGGTCCTTTTAACCACGTCCCCAAAGGGTTACAGTTTTTCTGTGTCACAGCCACTCAGCCAGCAGCTGAAGCGGAGGAATTTTACAAGGTGCCCAGCTGGGAGGCGGCTGCTGATGCCATCTCATGCCTTCAGTTTGGCCACAGCTTCCAATATCGATGGCATCACAGGCCATGGGAGAGCAAAACAGGACAGCGGGAAACACCTAACCACGTGGGAAGCCACAGTCTAGAAACACAGGAACATCCAGGGATTCGACTGGTTCTTCTGAAATCTATCTAATTGTTTAGTTACGTACCTTACACGGGCAGATAAAAGTCATTCCCCTTCTTCCCACACACCCACCCCTCTTCTCTCTTTCTCCCCCTCACGTGCATAAACTCCACTTGTTTCCTTCCACCTCAGACCAGGCCCCGCAGCTGTTTCAATTCATGAGGCTTCCTATAAAGTAAACCAGCCTACAAGCCTGAGGACAATGAAACCGTGATTTCTATTCCAAAGAGCAGAACTGGCTAGAAATTGGCCCCTTTTCTGGCTAGCGTTACAGCACGAGGAGTCGAAGGGAAAGGGGCAGATGCTATGTGTTTGATTTTTAGTAAACATTTGATAGTGATTTGCACTTTGAGATGAATGCCGTGGCTCCCCTTGAAAACTGGCTGCAAATAAATCATGATAAAAGCAAAGGATAACGTCGGAAGAAGGTGTGATATTGCAAAGGCCTGTATTAGGCCCTATTTCACCCGGAATTTTCTTTAAAGATCCAGAAGAGACTCTAGGCGGCACGCTAACTTAAATCTCCAGGAAATACCGCATATGGAGGAGCTGCAAAAATAGCGGGGACAAGGAAATAACGCACAGGGACTTTGAAAGAATAGAAATGCAGTCTGAAAATAATCAAGTGAGATTCATTCTGGAAAAAAAAGCAGGCTAAGATAAGTGAAGGGAATCGATCAAAAAAAAACCCCGTGGAGTGGGAGGGCGAAGTCTGGGAAGCAGCAATGTTGAAAATAACAGATGTTACAATAGATGGCAAGTTGAATACGAGTGTACTAGGTGAGGTTCTTCAGCTTAGCTTTCGGAAATGAAAATAAAAACTACTCCTCTGAAGAAGATACTTATACATCATGACCATGCTGGTCGTATTTTTGTTGTGGTTTTTTTTTTATATATATATTTTTTTTAATA